CCTGATTCCACTATTTAGATCTTTAGTTATCAGTAGGTGGATCACCGGTAGTTGGAAAAGGTTCTGATAGCTCTATATAGATCTTTAGTTATAACTAGGTGGATAACCAGCAGGTGGAAAGTGGTCCTGATTCCACTATTTAGATCTTTAGTTATCAGTAGGTGGATCACCAGTAGTTCGAAGAGGTCCTCATAGTAGACATGTGCGATTCGTTTCGGACGGATTTTCGGAAATTCGGAGATTCGGATGCATCCGAATTACAGCTAAGACGAATGCAAACGAATCCGATTTCCCGAAATTCGTTAGCAGTAGTCCGGCCAAAATTCTTTTATGGACGAATTTCGTTATTGGATGAATTTCGTTGCAACAAAATGACAGGAAAAAAAAATGACGGAATGACATTTTCTTTTTTTCCTAATGTCATTTTGCTGCAACGAAATTCGTTAGCGGTAGTCTGGCCGAAAATTAGTTTATGGACGAAATTCGTTGCAGCAAAATGACATTAGGAAACAAGAAAAAAAAGGAATTTTTTTTTTACAGTCTGCAGAAGATGAAAAAAAAAAAAGCATGAGGTTCCCCCCCAATTCATACCAGACCCTTTAGGTCTGGTGGGAATGTTAGGAGGGACCCCCCCAGTTATAACACAAAAAAAGTGCGTGGAGTTCCCCCCAAAACCCATACCAAACCCTTAAGGTCTGATAGGAATTTATAAATAAGAGGGCACCCAGATGCCGCCCCCCCCCATGTGAATAAGTAAGGGATACTTGTACCCCGACCCATTCACTAAAGGGTTAAATCAAATAGTTAGTAAAAAGTCAAGACTTTTGACAAAATCCTTTAATTGAAAAAAAAATAAATATAAAATAATTTTTTTTTTTTTTAATGGCTCCATCGATGTAATCCAGCGTCAATCAGGATGTAGGACCCCCGCCAAAATAAAAAAGGTCCCGCCGCAGGACCCCCGTCCGATCCCGATGAAAACTAGCCGCAAAATGACATTCAGCCTGAAAATAAACAGATGGGCGGAGCGAGTCGTGACGTCACAGCTCGCTCTGCCCATTTGACATTCTCAGTTGTTAAATGCTACATAGCATTCGGGAACTCCCGAGTGCTATTCGTGAGTTTCCGAATGCTATTCGGGTCTGTGAGCCGAGGTGTCATCTAAAAAGAATTATGACACCTCGGCTCACAGATCCGAATAGCATTCGGAAGCTCATGAATAGTATTCGGGAGTTCCCGAATGCTATGTAACATTTGACAGCTGAGAATGTCAAATTCACAAGGGGGGGCGGCATCTGGGTGCCGCCTTATTTAAAGGGGTACCCCGATGCAAATAAGCCCCCTTGCACGCAGACCCCCACAACCACCGGGTCAGGGTTGTGGGGAAGAGGCCCTTGTCCCCATTGGCATGGGGACACCCTCCCAATGCCGAGGGCACGTGGCCTGGTAAGGCGCAGGGAGGGGGGGCGCTCGATCGCCCCCCCCCCTTTCCTGTCCTGCCGGGCCAGTGCTCGGATCAAGGGTCTGGTAGGACTGTTAGGGGGGACCCCCCATTTTTGGGGGCTGGGGTTCCCCTTTAAAATTCCTACCAGACCTTAGGGTTTGGTATGGATTTTGGGGGGAACCCCACGCACTTTTTTGTGTGTTATAACTGGGGGGGTCCCTCCTAACATTCCTACTAGACCTAAAGGGTCTGGAAATGAATTGGGGGGGGGAACCTCACGTTTTTGTTTTTTTCATCTTCAGCAGACTGTAAAAAAAAAAAAAAAGTAATTTTTTTCCCCTAATGTCATATTGCTGCAACGAAATTCGTCCATAAACGAATTTCAGCCGGACTACTGCTAATGAATTTTGTCCGAAACAAATTTAATTTCGGAACCGAAAAATGAAATAATGCAAAGTCTGAATCAAAACTAAACTAAACTAAACACATTTTTTTTTTTTTCCAAAACGAAAGTAAACTAAACAAATTTTTTGCTGGTGCACATGTCTATCTCATAGCTTTATATAGATCTTTAGTTATTACTAGTGGATCACCAGCCGGTAGAAGGTGGTCCTGATCCACTATTTAGCTCTTTAGTTATCACTAGGTAGATCACCAGCAGGTGGAAGAGGTCCTGATAGCTCTGTATTGATCTTTAGTTAGATCTTATTTAGAATGCTGTGTCCATTTTTGGAGACCTCACTTACAAAAATACATTCATATGATAGAATGAGTCCAGAGATGGGCTTCAAAAATGGTGCAAGGTCTGAGGGATCAAATATATCAGGAGAGACTGCATGAACTTAATATGTCTTCAGGAAAGAAGGGAAATGGGGCACATGACTGAAACCAGCATCAAACATCAAACCATCAAAAACAAATAATTTGTAGTGACAACTGTAAAATGTTGGATTTCCCATTACTTTCTGCCCCAATGGCAAGGGTCATCAGGACATAGAGTGGTTGAATCCCCCCAGTGGAAACACAGACAGCAATAAAAACCGGATAGAGCTTTTAGGACTTTGTTACTCTATCCAGAGTTTTGGCTTAATATATACTTTCAAACAAAACCAGTAATTATCTTTACACATAATAAAACTTTTGTAAGCCTATTATTATTTTTTAGTAAATCAACTTCAGTGAGATGTGAAGTTGGCAGATTAGCCTGACACTCTATTGTCTAGTATTTTATTAAAGAGGTTAGTTAGTGCTCCCAAGATTTTCTTCTCATATGTTAGTTTAACTTTGAACATCATGTATTTCCATGTTATTGTGTACCTATCAGCAGTTGCCACTTGCTCATTCTAACCTCCCCAGTGCCATCTGCTGCTTATCTTTAGATACTGCGATTCATGAAAAGTACACTCGGGAAAAATAAGTACCGGTAACTCAAAAGAAAAAATAACCCTGTTCAGAAACCGGCCACGTCATCCTTCTGGAAAGAGGATATACAATTATAAAAGTGATGATTATTGTGCCCCAGTAGCTTTACATTAAGTATGCAAGTATTTTGTATATTTTAAAGATATTTTGAAGAAGATTTTATTTATATATATATATATATAGGTTCACTGTAAATGTGAATTATGTTTATGTACTTTTTCTGTGATCTTTTCAATTTCCCATCATTGCCAATCATCCCTGCCTTTCAGATGTTAAAGATTAATTCCTGGAATTTCTTTTTCCTTTATGTTACATCAACTTCCTCATTTGTTAAAAAACATTCTGGGAAGTTTTAACTAATACTATATTTGAGCAGCATCTGAAATGTATAGTGCAAGTTAGCATCATTTCAAATATTTAAAAAAATGTATGGTTTAGATTTCAATTTAGTTAACATTTTATCATTGGAACTTATGTCCTGTGGCTGTTGGGGGCAAGTTGGTCAGTAGAAGGCTTATTTTCATTGGATCAGCTGAAAAGTCTTCTCATTGGAGGGAATTTTGTGAAAGTAACCAGTGTTTTAGAGGTTCACTCCAAACAGCTGCCTTCTTTAATATAAGATGAACTTTAAAGCTCGGCAGAATGTTAAAGTGACACTACACTTAAGAGTTAAATATTAAAAAAGCATTCAAGTAGCTTAACTGTTAACAAAAATGGATCTTATTTGTGTATCACTCGGCTGTGGTTCCTCAAATCATCTCTGAATTGGTGGTGACACTGTCCTTCCTTCTGGAGGGTGTCTATTTTTGTTCCCCATGGTCCATGTGTGTGTTGTAAAGTAGTCACCACTCCAAGCTCTCTCCTGTGATGGACTACAATCTCAATACAAATGACTGAACTAAATGTGAGATTGTAGTCCATCACGGGAGTGAGCTTGGAGCGGTGACTACTTTACAAGACACACAGGGACCATGCGGAACAAAAGTAGCCACCCTCCAGAAGGAAGGACAGTGTCGGCACCAATTCAGAGATGATTTGACATTCTACAGCCGAGTGATGCACAAATAAGATAAATTTTTGTTGACAGTTAAGGTACTTGAATGCATTTTTAAGATTTAACTCCTGAGTTTAGTGTCACTTTATGATTAAATCAGCTGAATACATTCCAGGTGCATCAAAACAAAAGGTGTTTAAAATATTACATTTCATTTTTTGTACAAAGTAGCCACAGCCTAAGTAGAAAAGCCTGTTCACTGCCAGCATGCTGTACAGAAAGACCTGCTCTCTGCACGGAAGCAGTGGTCTGTCTGAAGAGGCTTGACAGAGGCCTGCTGAAACAGACATATAGCAGAGAGAGAGAGAGAGAGAGAGAAAGAACCGATCTCTGCAGCATTCTGGCAGGGGACAGGCTTTTCTACTCAAGCTGTGGCTGAGTAAAACCAACGGTAAGACATTGCACACCTTTTGTTTTGATGTACCAGAAATGTGTTCAGCTGATTTAAACCGGAAGCTTCAGTAAACATTAAAATGCTGAAAGTAGTTTCTCTCCTTGGTCAAGTGAAAAGTATGTACACCCCATGGAAATTGTTGTCTTTTGCCAACATATTTGAACAGTTAAATATTAATCAAATAGTGCCTACAGATAAAAGTGATACACTTGAACAAATGGCGTGTAAAACTGATATGGTGTATTCATTTTTATGATCTACATTAACAAAATGTAGATATGGAAAAAGTAAGTAAACCCCGACAATGCCTTTAAGAAGTCTTTTTTGCTATATGGGTAAATACCAGCTTTTGATGCCATGGGTGTACTTACTTTTCGGCACAGTACACCATTACATCTATTAATTGTTGTTTTTTTTTTAAATAAATGATTGAAAAGGCAAATTTTTCTTGTGTATGTCACATTTATCTGTTGACACTGGTGGAATAAAGATCTAATGTTTGAGTGTTCAAATATGCTGAAAAAGTCCATAACTTCCTCGGGGTGTACTTACTTTTTCACATGTCTGTATATTTTCCTTTATGCTGCTTAATCATGTCTTAAAACACTTGTGTGCTGCAGTATCCTCCTCTTTTCCATATAACCATGGATTGTGTGATCGCTTTGTACATATGTCTAATTTATCAGTTTCTTGTAGATTGTCAGCAGCCTGCTGCCTCACCGTCGCAATGTTCACAACTAACCCAGCGGCTAGACTGTCCGACCGCCAGGTAACGTGCAACTAACCTTTACCGCTGTGCCTCTGTTTAAACTTGCTTGCTGCATGATGAGTCTATCTGTCACTAGGCTAACCTCTCTACTGCAGTATACAGACTACTAATGAGTTATTTTTTTTAACACCTGTAAAAAAAATGAATTTGCCTTTAAATCCGATCCCAAGTTAAAAAAAATACTACCCTTGCAATGGGGCTACACCTGAACTGCAAGGGTTAACTGATTGTTTTTGTCTAGGGAGAGTCTGTAAACCAGTCCTACTTACCTGATCCCCACTCACCCGACAGTCGACACTTACCCTTCTCTCCAACTTGTGGACTGTCCCTCGGCATCCTCATGTACAATCAGGCCATGCATTCTGCATTAGACGTGATGACGTCAGTGGGCCACTAGAGCGAAGCGGAATAGGCTTACCGACGTTAGTCTTGGAGCCAGCGGGTGCGGGGATCAGGTAAGTAAATGAGTTAACCATTTAATTTAAACTAGTCAACATGGATTAGATGAATCCAACCAAACTTGAAAAGGTGTAATGATCTTCATAAGAACTTGAACAATTTCATAAAACATATATAATGTTGACTTCATTACAGTTAAAGGGACTCAGTCATCTGAAATGATTGTTCTAAAAATAGCCGACTGCAAAAGAAAACTATTAATACGTAGCTCGCCAATGGGCGGTGAGTCTGCTCTTCACGCACTTAAGAAAAATCTTCCTAATACTAAATGCTTCCAGGTGTGTTGTGTTCCTGTTACCCCCTGTACACTGTGGTTCATCCTGCCTACTAACTACTATGTCCTATGGTGACATGGCACCTGGCAGATGGGTGCATAGCATTTTCTGATGACAGGTTGGTTTGCAGGACAGAGGTTTGGTGGTAGATGGAAGTTACTCTTTTGGATGTTGGTTAGTAACATAATTTCAATTTTTGGAAGATCAGTTTTTGCAAACTAACAACAGCATCCAGCTATTATTTCCAATATCTGTGGTTAACATGGGCTGATTTGTATTTTTAACTAAATGGCGCCCTCTAGTGGAAAATGCAGAAGCAGCAACAAGAAAGATTTTTCAAGCAGTTGTATGAATGCTCTGATGAATGCTAAATCCAACAGGGTTATTCACAAAAGGGTGAAGAGTTTGGAGAAGGCAGGGGAAGGGAACAATCTAGGACAAAATAGCTGAACTGGAAAGTGAGCGGAATTGGAGAATTTTTCCAAATCAACTATTTTGGCCTAGATTGTTCACTTCTCCTGTCTTTTCCAAACCCTTAACCCTTTTGTGAATAACCCTGCAAGTGTTTTATTCCATAAACACATCAACGTGACGCAATCATAACATGTAGTCAGTCGGGTCTGATTCATAGATTTGCATTGACAGTGGAGTGGCACCCAATAAATTTGTAGCACCGTTAAGCAAGAAGTAAAACCTGCCAATGTGATGAGAAACTGTAACTTCACGTTACCCGAGCACTTAGTAATGCCCTAAAAATAGCCCCAAACACTTCAACCCCCTTTCTTCCCAAATTTAACCTCAACAGTGAAACCTTACCACTCATCCCCCCTATCATAAAGCTTAACCTAACCTCTAAAGTGAGAATAACCCCTAAATTTAAACCTAACACTAATCTCTGTTCTATGGGGTGCTTTCACGTCAAAAACATGCAGCACTTTTTTTAATGAAAAGATATGAATGATTATTTAGTTAACCCTGAGGTTCAGACAGTTAGGAAGGTAGTTCTTGTTACCAATTAATACATTATGAATACATGTATCTTAAACACAGCTAGTATATGTACAGGAACATGTCTTTATATTAGCCTCCTCTAATCTCCTGCACAGTGATCTGAAACAAGCATGGTTCTGTCAGTGCTGTTATTCAAACTCTCTGAACATTGTGGGATATAGCACGTATAAAGTCGTTTGTTTGCAAATCAAATACTTAGAGGTAAATTTGTTAATCAGTCATATTCAATAAATGTTATGGTGGCCAGCTTTAAAGAGGTATTCAGTCTAATGGCAGTTAGTTATTTGCTATTATAAAACGGAAAATATAATTTAATAAAGGTTTGTATATGAGATTTACTAAACTCCAGGCAGATACAATAGGCAATGGCAATAGGCAATTTAATAAAATACTCATGAATGTTTTGTATTTAGTTAAAAATAATTAAATGCACTTTAAAAGCACTATATGAATACCTGATTCAGGCTTCATTGAGCCCCCTAGTACGAGAGGAGGCCAATAAGTTCTTACCCTCACCAAGATCCAGATGTGCTGGGGATCTGAAATCCACTGACTCTTCCTTTCTCTACATATCCACCTCCTATGGTTACACACTTTTCACATCTGTGGAACAGACCTTTAATACCATCTGCGTAGAAGTATGCAGATTTGGAGGAAAACCAGCTATCAACTTCAGTAATTACTGCCTCATCATTGTGGAAACGTCTTCCCCGTAAATGTTTATTCAGATTTGGAAACAGGAAGAAGTCCGAAGGTGCCAGGTCAGGTGAATAAGGTGGATGGGGCAGAGATTCATAGCCACAATCGCTGACATCTCTTCATGGATTATTTGGGCAGATTTCCCTTGAAGATGGAGGAACCTAATCACGGCTCGGTATTCAACTTTGTCCGGCATGACACCTACTCCATTTCTCTTGGCTCTAACTATAATTCACCACAACCTACAAAAAAATGGCATGCATATTACTAAGATATCCACCTATAAACCTGCAAAATTTCAGATCCCTAGCACATCTAGATCATGGTGAGGGTAAGAACTTATTGGCCTCCCCTCGTACACAAGTCCCTGTACAGTAGCACACAGATTGGAAGAGGAAGGGTCAGTACTTGGGCCTGATCAAGTATCCTCCATTCACTTGTGCTAACAAAGAAACCTCATCAGTCTATAGGTTCTTCTTCACTGGCCAGCTACTGGCTGGGGGCGGGGGGCTGACCTAGCTGTCTTGATTAACTGCAGTAAAGAAAAGACAGGTCACCAGCCCAGCTGTCCAGTCTAGTAAAGATGTGTACATCTTTGGAGTTGGATGGAGAGAAATATATACCTTAGCAGATATGACAGCTCCATTATATGTATTTCAAGTATGTATTTAGCAGTTTGCCTTAAGTTAATCCATAAAAGTTGTAACTTGCCTTATGTGTTTTTTTTTGTTTTGTTTATTAAACATTAATATTGCTTTTTTTTATGTTCCAGTCCTAACCTAGCACTCCGACAAGGGGAAGAACATTCCAGATCACAGTGTACCCCCCTCAATTGTCTCTCCAAAATTCCCCCGAATCCATAGACCTCAGCAGAGATGCTGTAATGGGACTTTACTTAGAAGACATCGCTGGACAGGCGGTCAGTTCAGGAGGTGTCTGTGCCGCTGAAAATGTGGACACTTATCTTCTCATTATGCAGAGACCTGGTTTATACCGAGAAAAGAGAAGCACAGAAAACTGGGAATCTGAAAATCGGGTTACGACAGGACAATACTATGGCATCCTCATGTGAATGCTGGCCACATAGGAAAAATCCAAGATGGCACCCTCTGTGTTAACAGTGTTATAGGATGCTGAACGCCAATATATAGAGCTGCATTAGTACTTACCTAACTTATCTTAGGCCATTCATAAGATTATATTGTGTTTTTATTGTCATTGAGAGCATGCTATTTATTTTTTTATATATAATTTTGCACCTTTTTGCTGTGTCCTGAATACTTAATGAAAGACCTGTTCATTGGGTGTCTCTGTAAGGCCAGGGTATAGGCAAGGCACTTTTCTTTGGCTAATCCTTCGGCCCCAGGACCCCTTCGGTTCATTAGAACCGTAGGGCTGCTGTACGGGCTATTCACTATAGCCTGTACAGCTCCCGAAGTCAGCCGAGCGGCTCAGTCGAGCCGAAGGCATATGCTTCAGGTCGACTGAGCCGAGGTGAAAGCCGAAGCTGGCTGAACAGTCTGCAGCCTGCTACTGACTGCTGGGGAGAGCCAGCCGTCATCTGTTTGGCTCACTTCACTTCGGGACGTTTATTCACTCGGCTGCCTATGGCAGCTTAGTGATTACACCCCTAAGTAAAAGATCCAAAATGTATCACTACATCAGAGAAAGGTGGGAAGTCTTGCAACGGGGACACTTGTTTCAATGACAGCTGTCTAAGATAGGATTACTCTTGCTCCCCAATGGGACACAAATGCTAAACTCTTCCCAACTGTGTTCAAAACAAAAGTAAAACATTTTACCTTTAGATATACTTCAATGCTTTCAGCAGGGACCAAGTAAACACCAACTAAGTGGTGTAAAATAATTATTTGTCGCCTAATCCTTACATTGACAAGCCATTGATGAATATTCCTTAGTACAGTTTGTTTGTTATAATTGACTATGTATCTTTAGCCGACCACTGATTACTCTTCACAGAGTTTTCTTTGCTCCAAAAGAGGTGTATTTAAGTATAGATTTATTTTTAAATCATGAATGGTTTCTTTGGCCAAGACGCGGCCTTTAACGTTAGTTACTGTGGGTGTAATGAACTAGAATGTCACTAATGCCTTGTTCCGTCAATGCACTGGTATATTCATGCACTTGTTCCTTTATTTTTTAAACAATTGGACAATAAACAATCGTTATTGCTATAGGCAGGGGCTAATCATACATGGCCAGATCGGGCAGCCCAATTTTCTCCTCAGCTGCAAAAACCCTAATGTGCAGCTAGTTTGGTCGAACATGGTGGCCAGATCAGTGGAGAGCATTTGAAGTTAAGGACAGAGTAGGTCTAAAATTACCTCTGCTGGCTAATTGACAAGGAATGGGAATGTCCATACACATAATAAATACATTATTTTGGAGGAATTAAAGCCTACCTTGCATTAAAAGGCAAAGTCTGCTTTATCTAGGAATGCTGTTTAAAAACATGAGGTAAAGTAATTATTGTATACTACAGTACTCACCTTACACCACGGCTTCTTGCTGTAGGCGCCAGTGATCTCACTGGGTCTTGCCGTGGGATTAGGGGAAAGCTGAGGATCCCAAATCTCGCAAGAAGATGCTCCAGTCTGTGGGGTATAGGGTAAGTATTTTTAAAAATTTTCTTTCCATTTCTTTTTTTTATAGCTTTACCTTAGCGTTTTTTAATCAGCAGGTGACGGGCTTCAAGAAAAGTAAACCTTTTATTTTCATGTACAGTCTCCTTTAAGCAATCCACCAATACAGAGTTGTTGATGTAATAAACAATTCTTATAGCATGAATAAAAAAAGAGGAAGCAGGGTGGAAGGGCATTATGATTTGGGTGCTTGGCATGACAGCGGTAATTTTGTTGAACCGATGTTGCCCTATATAGTTGTCCTAACTTGTTAACTTTTAATCGATCCTGTTAGCAAGGAACCAGTGTGAATGCTTTAAAACTCAGGTTCAGCCATTAGAAGTCTGACATCTCACCAAAGGTAAAATATTTAAATTGGACACCCCCTTCAAGCACTGCATTTGAAACATACAACAAAAATACAGAATTATATATTAAAAATACAAGACATCCATTAAAAGTACCCGCTATTTAATAATGTGTGCTATGCGAATTTAAGTTGCTAAAGTTAAAAAAATAAAATAATATAGTACAGCTGTAAGAATGTTTTTTACAGACTAGGTGCTAACATGCAGTTGTCTGAAAATATGGTAGCTTGTGCCGAAAATAAATGATTTTTACTTTAAAATAAGGTGCAGAGACTTTACACCTAATTTGTCACGCTGTGATAGTATATTAGGTATGCCAATGTAGTTCTTCTAGCCACATTATCATGGGACACTTCAGTCATCATCATGTAAAACTCTACTTTAACATACCGTACCTTAAGTGATTGTGCAGTTTGCTGAATCAGGATCTTTGTATTTTTATGCATTTGGTTGAACTTGTGATGAAAAAAAAGAAGATTTTGCTTGTTGACACTAAATATAGTTTGTGGTTCATTGGTAAATGCTAATATGCAATTGTATTAACTAGATATGTTAAGGATAGATTTATGTAATTAGCCCCAAAATGCAGTTGAGCAGTTTCTCCATTGTCTGCTGTTGTCCAGCACTACCAAATGTTAACAATAATAATAACCAAAAAAAAAGTAAATAGATTTTTACTACAAATTACAATTCTTAACCAACACTAGTAGAGTTGGAAATAACTTAAGACGTCCATGCTGATTCCTGATTTGGTTTTTGTTAAACATTTTAGTTAGGCTTTTCTTATTCTCTTCATGGAAATTGAATATAAAAATAAACAATTAATTACTGGGTTTTTTCTGGATGTTTTATATCATATTTCCAGCTTGGGCAATGAATATGTTAAATTTGATCCCCGAGCAGCCAGTAAGAATGAGAAATAGACACTCACTTTCTCACTTTACTCACTTTCTCTCCAGGCACTGTTCCCCCCGTAGACTCACCCAGTGACCGATCCAGTGCTGGTCCTATCTCAAGTTGAACGAGCAGCCTCCATAGTTTTTTGATTAAATTTTCACTAAATATATTTAAAGCCCGACTGCAGGATTTTTAAATAATGTGAAAATAAATGACCCAGCACAGTTTATTAAATAATGCAGCTTTCACTGCTATACTCACCTCCTTTCTGGTGCTGTCCACTAAACACTCATTAATCTGTAGTCCAGCAAAGGTCCTCTTGTGCCCAGCTTTACTTAACCCACTTCCTGTTAGCCCAGGCTGTCATGGACATACCCCCTGGGAATGTCATCACACCCCCTGGGCTTAGTAATGTGAGCACTGCTCTGTACAGCAGGACCACCCACTGACAATCCTGAAGAAGAGGTAGGACCCGTGATGTAAGACTAGCCAATTGGATTTAGGTTATGTATAAAGTTAAGCTTTTGAAATATAGGAGCATGGTGGTTGATCAGGGATGGCAGGAGTTGGAGATGGCTTTAAGAAATATATGCAAAATAATTTGTTCAGAACTAATACAATGGAAAGTATAGTGAACTGGGTTCAATTAAAGTCAATTACCATGTCCAATGGAGTTGATTTACTACTGGAGTAAATTTTTTTACTTACTGTAGTAAAGCAACCATCCAATCATGTGCAAAAAAATTTCCTTTATCATCTGCAATATCTTTATTTATATAAACCAGAAACATTGCTTTTGAAAATGTTTTAACCTTATTAAACTTTAATTGAGAGCAAGCAATATGTACTGCACCATTTTAAACACAGCCATATTTCATTCATCTAAGTTTTATGAACTGAGTATACTTTCTGAACTATTGCAGTAAAAAAGAGCACACATGGGGCTATTTATATAAGTTTATCCTTTTACCACAGAATTTTCTAGCTATATTTTATATGTTGCAGAATTTTTTCTTTCTTGAATCTTGAAAGACCTGAAAGAGTTTACTCCATTAAATTGTTCTGTTTGTGTGTGTTTTTTTTTCTGTCATCCAACTTTTCTTTGGATTAATTTATTTTTCTGTATTAATGTATTTAATAATTTATCATTCATAGCCATTTCGGTAAGGAGACCAACCTCTAGCCCGTTATTTTTGTTTATTTTTTTTCTTTCTGTAATTCATTTAAGATCATTTAGAAATTAATTTAAATATTTTTTTTCTTTTTTCAATCGCAGTATTGTTTTATTAATAATAATAATAATAAGCACTTGTGTCAGTGACCACTATGTAATGGCAGGTTTTTTAAGAAAGGGACAAGTTTTCTTCCTTTCACTAACATGACTTGCAACTGTTTTGAATATGGCATTTTTTTTATTTGCGATACCTCATTTAACTTCACTAAATACATACTTTATTTAATTGTCAAAGTCAAATTACCTCTGATTGCAGGTTAAATTTCTGCACTATGATTTGTGATTTCCCTTCTGTAAACATATGTAAATTGTAAGCAGGCCTGCTGTTCAAAAACATTTTCTTGCACTGCTGTTTATTTTTTCTGTTTTGTTTTATTTCCAGTATTTGTATTATGCGGCCAAGATTGACATTTTGGGTAATATTACAATTTAAAGTATCAGTTTAAACTGCTTTTGAAACGTGGAGGTAATAAAAGCAAAGTGGTAATACAAAATTTGTATAGGTGCAGTTGTTTATGTGGACGCCGTGTTGTTTCAGAAGTGCTCTCCTCCACTTGTTTGCCCACCTGTGCCAGACAGGACATGACTTATACATACCTTTTTTTTCCAATAATTAATCCAGATCTTTAGGTCTGGTAAGAATTTTAGAGAGGACCCCAATGCCAAAAAACAAATAAAAGCATGGGCAGAGGAGGAAAAAGCCTGGCAGGGCAGGAAAAAGGAGGGGCGAGCGTTTGCCCCCCCCCCCCTGCACCATACCAGGCCACATGCCCTTAACATGGGGAGGGTGCTTTGCCAGGGGGGACCTCCTAGCAAAGCAGCTTGTCCTCATGTTGATGAAGACAAGGGCCTCTTCCCCACAACCCTGGCCGGGTGGTTGTGGGTGTCTGCGGGCAGGGGGGTTTGTCTGAAGCTACCCAGATCCCGCCCCCCCTTGTGAATGAGTATGGGGTAGTTACCCCTACTCATTCACCAAATACAGTATATTAGTAAATAACACATCACACTGTAATACAAAGTTCTTTATTTGAAAAAAACGCAACACAGTTTTTTTAGAATTTCTTTAATAAAAACAAAAAAAACCCTGAAAAATGTCCATTGATGTAATCCACACGTCAATCACATCGTCCAGCTATGTAGATCCACATCAATCAGGATGGACAACGGCCGCCGACTCGCCTAAAGAAA